AAATAAGCCACCATCATGGCAGCATGTATGCTAATCTTGAAGTTTCAGAATATGGAGCTGCAGTGGTTACAGCAAAATGTGCACCCGCTGGTTTTATCTGTCTTGTCTTTGAATTATACAAATACATGGCATCTCACTGAGTCTTGGACTTGATAAAGTGAGTCGTTATTTTCTCCTGATTGTCAAAACACTGTTTTGGTTTTTGAACAATTTTGTGTTCTTTGGAAATGAATGAAAAAAAAATACACCAGGCCCTGGCCCTGCTAGTGATGTATAGTGTTTATTCCATTCTTACTACGATCACATAATTCAGCATTAACAGATTATATCCATCTGGACAGACAGGATCTGACAGAAGGCTTCACATCGCGATGATGAATACACTGGACAATAACTGTGTGTTAGTCACAAGGAAAACACAAACTTCCCGCCACGTTTATCACTCCCTCAGAGGAGCAAATCTAACTAATCATGTTGTTAGGGAAACTTAACATAGACATACAAAATTAAAGTCACCAGAGATTTTTGGCTTAAAAAAATATCACAGCACAAAACAAGTCAAACTGTTTTTCTCAGTAGATTTAAATCAAAACTGAAACCTTACTTTTATTACGGTGCAGCAAAAACTACCCTGGAGAAATAAGTAATGCTGTGACCTGTTTTGAATAGACGTAGATGATGAAGTTACAGTGCTCTAGAGAAGCAGCTGTTATATTCTTTTTTGCTTATGTAGGATCTGAGTAAGACTGCATTTCCTCATTGCCCTGCCTTCTATTCAAAGTGTGGAGTTATTCATTCAGTAAAAACGGGCTTTCCAAAAACTCTGACAAGTCAACCTGTGGTTTTGAAAGTGGCAGTTTTGTGTCGAATCATTACCATCCTTTGACAGATCATCCGCGCATATGTGTGAACATTAATATGACATTGTGTTGCTTAACATACATTTCTATTTTTAGATTTTTTTTTTATCTTCAAATGCCTGCTGGTGATTTAAACTCTAAAATTCAAAGAATATTTGCCTTTTCTAAGGGTTTCTACGATGTCACTGAAAGTCATCTTAGAGAACAGGGTCATGTCCTTTATTTCTGCAAATGTGACTTTGATTTCTGGAAATTTGAAGGTTTTAATAACCAAGGAAAGATTTTCATTTTATATAAAATAACTATAAAATGTGGTAGTGTGGTGTGGTTTTGTAGTGTGGAGAGGAAATAAAAAAGGAACTGTTACTATAAACTACTGTACATTTTATATAATAACTTAGTTAAACTATCTGATATTCATGTTTTAATGACAACCGCTTTGTATGACTAACTGCAAGACCTGCCAATCAAGGCATTCACATCAATAACATACCTTTGTTAAAAAAAAAAAAAAAAATCCAGAGTAATCTGTTGTGTATTTAAAGCCTGATGGGTAGTGTGCATCTGATGCTACAAAAAGAAAAACATATCAAAGAGAAAAAAAGAGCAAAATGTGTCTAATTTAATGCCCTCCTTTAGTCAAAATGTCTTTAATATATTCTTTATGGCCCTGAAGAAGAAATGTACGCTATGCGTGGGCAAACATTTTACCTAAGACGCACTTTTACTCAGAAAGCTTCCCCCCCACTCTTAATCCTCAGATATAATCTGCTTCTTTTATTGTCCAAATGTATTAAAAACACTTTAGAAAGCCAGATTGTGGTAACGTTTTGAAAGTTCAACATGATGTACATCATCCTGATGCCATAAATATGTATTAAAATGCATTAACCCATAGTTTACTATTTATCCCCACTGAAAGGGCCACTTTAATTTAATTTAAATCACTTCTATCAGCAGTGACCCAAAGTAGAAATCAGAATGGGTATCTATCACCACAGATGATATATTAATTATCTATGACAGAGCATGAAAAGGAGGAGCTGTGTTTACAAAGTGGCTTCTAGCTGTGCTGAAACTTAAATATAAGCCCTATACGATATTTACCAGTGGGATGTATATCAGCTGATATACTGGGCTGTAGATGGTTCCTGCATGCCCCAAGCACATTTTAACAGATCTGCCAAAAAGTCTGAGGATGTAAATACTTTCCTAAGTAGATACTTGATATTAACGTAATGTTTCTAAGATTATAACAGTCCATCAGTCACTTTATCCACCTATGGATTGCAGTTATGTTTATTATTTTCCTGGATAACAAGCATGTTTTGAACTGTGACACTGTTTTAGTGTGTGCTTGTGCGTTTTTCATAATTTATTCTTCTCCGTAGACATTCTCCCGGCATGCCGTGCTTCTCGCGTGCTCCTCAGGGCCTTGGTCCTTTTGGGGTCCACCACTGCATAGTCCACACGTGTACGTTGGCCTCGTGCTTGATCCTCGCTGTCTCCAGCGTGCTCACTGCCCCCGGCTAAACCTTCTCCAGTGCAGCGTTTCTGGTTGCACAGACACACATTGAGAAAGATTTATATGATTTTTGGGAGTTTGGGTTTTTTGGGTTTTTTTTTTAATTATTTACTGGGAAAAAAGAAAGTAATCCATTGGTGCCCTCTGGTGGTCAGACAAAATGATCACAGTCAAAATGTATTATTTATATCTGATGACAAATTATTAATTAAATAATGCATATGCTATATAGTATAACAGTAAAAGAAATAAAAGCACATTTAATTGAATGTTATGACTCGTGTGGAATGACAGAGTGAAACAGCGAGATATGGTTTACCTGTCTGCTTGGTGTTGATTGCCCAGTGTGGAGGTCAAGGTCCAGGTACTCCACCTGCTTGTCATCTCTGGCTCGTCGTAACACAGGGCTGCTGACTCCGCCCTCTGAAGCCCGGTGCATCATAAGTCTCAGAGACTGTTAACGGTAACGTAGAGAGTTTAGTAAAGGAGTTATGAAATCTAGAAGAAAGAAAAAAATGTTAAGACATGATAGAGAGATGGAAGGTACTCACAACCAGGTATTAGAATATATTTCAAAGAAAGAAGGGAAACAAAGCCCCAAATAACAAAACATGAGCCAAATGTTTTCAAAAAATAATAAGAATAAAAGATGAAGAAGAATAAATGGGGAAAAAGAAAGCAAGAATAGTTGGAACATTGTGAAAAAATGGAACAAAACAGGGGAGGTGTGTGTTTTACCTGCTCGCCGGCGCTGAAACTGAGGCTAGAGGTCATCATTGCAACATAGTTGTCATCTGGGTCATCGGAATCAGAGGACGGTGAAGAGCTGTGAGCAGAGCTCGGCGTGACCGTCCGACGACTGGAGGGTCTGTCACACAAACACATAAATATAAAATTAATCTTACATGATGATTTAAGATTAGGTAGTTTTTGCTTTTAAAGCAAAACTTCATCTCAATTTTGCTGACATATAGATTGTTGGTCAGACAAATCAATCAATATTTATTCTATTGATAGCTGAGTAAAGAAAGCTTTTACTTTGTAGTTTTTATTACAGAGTAACTACTTACTGTTAATTACTATTCATATCTACTGATTCTACTCCATTCTTCTTTTATTAACTTAAATTACGACATCTTGCTGTTGTAAGATGATCTAAAAGTCCTTGTAGTAACCCTTATGCACCACAGGGTGGCAGTAAATTGCTGCTCAGCTATTAACACATCCTTCCTCTCTCTTACTCTGAAAGTGTTCCAGGCAGTAAATTTGTGTTCTGTAGTTTTCTGTTGACCTTGCAGTGAAAGTGATCATGTCACGCAAACAAACATACCCACGGGTGAAGGTCCGTGTTACAGGCGAGCGCACTGGAGGGGGGACTTCCTGCCAGTCCTGCTGCACTGAAGAGATGTCCAGAGGAGCTGGTTTTACTGGGTGACAAAAGATGGGGAAGAAAGGGCGGCTTTACTTATTACAGTTTGAAATAATGTAAGGTTTAGTTCAAAGAGGGGCTGCTTGTTTTCAGGATATGAGAACAAGAAAACTGGATTTCCATTTGTCCTTCCTTTATATCTGTGATTAGAGCGGTTAAGTCAGCAGTAAAAAAACAAAAACAAAAAAGAGCATTGCATTGTTTGCTTTAAGCCTTGAGTTTGAAAAATTTCACAGTTTAACATAAAAAAGTAAGACCTGAGGTCTGATTTTCTAAATATATTCATAGTCTTCCTCAGATGCTGAGTCATTTCAAACCCCTTTTTTCAGTTCAGCTGTTGAATTTGGGTGATTTGAGTGAAAACGTGTACTTCATTGTTTTATTGCTGTATTGACGGACTGAAAGCAGGCTGACGCAGACCTGCAGGCTGAGGAAAAAAAAACAAAGACAGATTGCCATCTAATGTGTGACCCAGCCAGCAGTCACATATATGAAGTTGACAGAAATTTTGCTTTTATCTGGACAAACCACTCTTTGAAAACAACTAAAAACTGTAAATGGTGCCAAAGCATCCTTGTAATACTTTTAATGTTGGCTTTTAATATTTATTATTGTAATTAAAAACAGAATAAAGTTTTTATAGGAAGTAAAATCAGGTGGGGGATTTTTCCTTGCGTGTCCAGAAACAGTTTCCTGACTGTGAAGATTTTAAAATTTAATGTGAACGTTTCTATAAGCAGCAGCTGGTTCGTGTCGCTGTGTGTGTGGCTGTCGTGCTCTTGTAGTGCAGGCCTGTTGAGCAAAGTGGGAGCAGGTGAATAATTAAAACAAAAAGAAATGACAGATATAGAGGAGGGGGGGTGGAGAAAGAGTCACCACAGAGGAGAAACAGCCAAGTGTTTCAGGAACAGAAAGTTTAGGGTCGAAGTTTGAAAACTGTTTCATTTTATAAGTGGGTGTATTGTCTTCAAACCACAATTTAAAAGAAAAAACTCAGTTGTCTGCACAAACAACAAAATGTGATTTTACAGAACAAGACAAGCTGAGTAAAAGCAAAAAGAGGAATCATGAAGTGGGAAGTAATTACAAGAAGCTCTGATGGAAAGCCCCTTTCACCACTGTTTTTCATGGCTTCTAAGGTTCAGATGTTTTACTGCATTTACTTGCTTCAGTGGATGCATCAGCTTCTGCTGGTGTGATTACACTTGTACACTTTGAATCATTTTTTAAAGCTTCTTTTACGTCTTCCATCTCTGCTGGACTATTCGCTGATTATGCGAAATGTTTACTTTTTGATGATTAACAAATATTTTATATCTAGAATTTTAAATATTTGGCAAAATTTTGATTTTTCTATTTGTTTTCATTATTATTCAGCCATATCATTTTAATATTGTCTTAAATATCAAGAGAAAACTAAGTGTTGATGTAAATGTGTGTTATAGTTTGTACCTCTTGTTTTATTTGTCAGCTCCTCAGGAGTTTGGCTCTCATTTCTGTCCACCGGCTGATTGGCACAAACCCCTGCAGAGACACGCAACACCGCAAAACAGATGGCATTTACCAGAGAGTGATGCAACAGCAACTCAGCTAATGCTACATTAATGCTTACTATGAACAGACTGAATCTGGTTTTTAAACTCTAATTCAGTTCCTTAGAAATATGCTTGTGGTTATTCAGGTGAATTTTACAAATCACTAAAATGCTTGAAAATACAAAATATTTTAAAGGGAACATTATTTAATTCAACGTAAGGAGTTTTTCTGTGTTTTTTCTTTTTTTTTTACATCAAGTTACAGCTTCCAGCTCTCACAGTAGAATGATACTAAATTTAACACAAAACTTAATTTCCCACTAAGTTTCCGCTAACCTCTCCGTTGTGGTTTCAGGTTGCGGTGGATTGGAGGGGGCACGGCTTCTTGTTCGCCTCCAGCAGAAGTGTTCATGGTATTTCTCCTGAGCGGCGGAGTGAGAGGAGCAAGGGGAGTCAGGGCGGAGTTACGGAAACCCATGTGCGCAGGGGGAGGCACCTGCCTCCCGAGAGATGCCATGTCAGTCATGACAGTGGTGGGGTGTGTAGGAAATGAAGATGTCAGAGGGGTCATAGGGACGTAGTTGCCTTCTTGGAGCTGGGCAGAGGGGTCTGAGGGTGGAGGCACTCTGGAAGAAGAATAAAATTATTTAGAAATTAATGTTACTGAATTTTAAATTTTCTTCAGAGGATTTTAAATGTCCCAGATGTTCTTTTCCTCACAGCATTGGCTGTCATTAGGTTTATCAAATCAATCAAATTTATTGTCACGTCACATTACTAGTACATTGGTACAGCACATATGAGGGAAGTAGTTACTAATAATTATAAGTAGTTCCTTACATGTGAGGTAATGTTAACTTGTGTTTTAGTCCAAAGATTAAAAGTGTCTTTTGTAACAACTCTCTGAAAATTTTGACTGATGTCAAGCCACCACCAGGGGTTAGTGTTTTATCAGCAGGTGTGTGTTTTTTTCAGGTGTGTGTTTGCTTGGGAGGCTTTTATTTGTTAATAAAGACTGCTATTTAACAAAGCGGTCTTTATGACTTGCTTTGTTAAATAAAGGTTACATCAACTCCTTGCACCTTGAACTGTGTTCATCTTCATTTGATAACTCTTCAACACAATACAAAGATTTTTTTGAAATATTGTCATACAAGTATTTTTTTTCACATTAAGTTGTTTGTGTGTCTGTGCGTCTTTGATTGATAGTCTACTAAGGGCTCATGAACTATGTAAATGTGCCAGATTTGGCCAATTCATCCACTTGAGTACTACAAAGTAAGGGGCTGCCTATAAGAAGAAAGTGGGATTTCACGACGTGGGATCTTAAAGAGACAAGAGCTAAAACAGCTTCATCGTGCAGATGACAATTTGAGAGGCTGGTTTTAAGAAAGAAATCTTTATTTTACGTGTCGTAATTCTTACAGACCTGGGTGCAACCGGTGGCTCAGAGGTGGCAGCGCTCATGGGAACGTAGTTTTCATCCACATCATCATCTTCAGAACAGACACTACCCAGAGGGACCATGCCTTTGTTAAACTGAGAAAGAACGGATCAAGAATGCAAGTGATTTTCATTGTAAAATTATAAATCCGTGATAAAACAGAGTTCAAAGTTAACATTTGTTTTATTTTGGAGGTTTCAACTTACAAAATAGCTGTTGAAGCTCTCACTGAAATCAAACATGCTTGCTCTGTCAGACAAAGACCGAGGGATGTAAAAAGAGTCGCTACCTGAAACAGAAAGTATTGAGACAAAATCCATGAGTAGCTCAATCCTCTGTTCAATGATAACAGACAAACTTGTTTCTATTTATTTGTTTCTTGCTGTTTTTTTTTTTTTTTTGTTTTTTTGTCTACAGATGTGAAAGTGATTTTCTTTCCAATGGCAAAGCTCTTCCAGTAAACTGCCAACTACTTGTATACCTTTGCAGATCGTAGACTTCTGCTGACACGCATTTACACAAACAGTATTTGTACAGTGGGTTTGACCAAATGTGAAACTGAATACGCATGGCGGGTAATCTAAGAAGGTGGGACAACCACATGCATGAAATAACAAGTCTAAGCTTGCATGAATCTATCTTAGATATACTTGAAAGCAGCTGTTTCTTTATGATGGAAACTTCATAGAACTGGAAAGAGAAATGTGGATAAAAAAAAGAAAAGAAAAGAAATCTCCTTGTGTTGTTGTTGGGCAAAGTTCACCTTTGATTAATGAATCAAATTATGGAGCAATCATGCACAAACAGTTTCAGCTGTAACGATATAATCCCTCAGAACTGCTAGCTCTGCACAACAAAGCTTCTTAGCTCTGCATAATCTCCCTCAGGTACGAGGTTTAAAAATCTGATGGCAAACAGTGATTGCAGCCTCCTAAAAAGATTTAGCATTGAACTGAGTACAACATTAATGTGCATGAACTTGTCTCTGAATATTACTAAGTAGGCACAGCTGATACCAGAAGGTGTTATCATGTGAACCAGTTTGCATTAGTTTGCACCTTTTGTGGGATTATTACTCTGAATCTGACACTTTGGTGATTAAATTAATGACAAACTAACTAAATAAAATTCATGAAGAACAAGAACATTGTCTTCTGGTTTGAAAAATGAATCCAGTGACGTGCATTATTTTTAATAACTAGCAGGGCAATTAGTGGTAAAACAGCCTGACTTGTTTGTTGAATTAAGGGAGGTCCATCTCTATCTCTCTGAATACAGCATTAAATTTATGTTCAACTGATGAACGAAAAAAGCATGAGATCACAAACGTGCAGTCTTCCGTAGGGTTTCAGTCATATCTACATCTCACTCCGCATATCAGGTTTCAAAACACCAAAAGTCTTCAAAGTAAGAGCCAGCAAATCCAGAAGTGACATCACAGTAGCTTTGTTTAGAGCAACACATTTTAAAACTGTTTAGTTTTAAAAGTCAGCTACAATAAAACATAATGAAACCTGGATCATAACAAGTTTGCATAATGGCAATTAAAACAAAATGATCTTAAGAACCAACTGAGAATTACCATCCAACGCTGTCAGTCGCCAGATTCATAAAGTCTCTTTTACGTCACAAGTTTCCTGCAGCAGCAATAAAACCTTAATGAACCTGCTGTGTAAAACCTACCCTGCTTTAAATTGCAGCCTAAGTTACATAGAACTGATTAATATCCACTAAACATGGTACACATGGTAAAGCATTTTGGCAGCTAAATTAATGCCTTACACTGGCACTGATTTAACTGAAGTTCTACAGAACTTATAGATTGGCTTAGCACAAGGACTATAAAATGTTGAAAACAGCAAGCCTGGTTGAATCCAAGTGCAGCATGGAAGACACCAACCAGAAGGTCGACTTGTTTTGACAACAATCACATTTTTAGAGCTATTGTTATAGCCCGAACATGTGGATACCAGATAAGAGATAACTAGATCAAGACTTCTGCTGGTCACTGTATAAGACTGAAGAAAAGAAATGTTCGCACAAAAACTACCAGGTTCATTTTGTCTGTCTTTGGCTCTCTACAAAGTCTAGGTACCCATGTGTAATCAATGCCAGCTCAAACTGACAGCTCAGTGGGACTCAGATTGCTGACAGACAGAAACATCTTCTTGTCTGTTATTTGCACATTATGCTTATTCATATTCAGGTGTGTGTATTGATGTTAATCAAGAGGAAATAAAATGCATCAACTGGCATCTCAAATGCTGGCATCTTAAAGAACTTCCTAAATCTGATTTGTTGAATGTGTGAAAAATAAAGAAAAAATCAAATGAATGAAATGTTGGTTTTGGCATTGAAATCTGAAGGATTATTTGTTTGAATTATCAATGTCAGGACAGTATTGTCTCCTTACTTGTATGCATGCATCCTGGTGTAGTGACGGTGTTGCTCCTTGGCAGATGTCCTCCTCCATCCACACTCTCATCCCTCCTCTCTGGCTCTGAGGCAGTTCGGGGGAGTGTGGCAAGCTTTGAGCTTTCTCCTTGGGCTGCAATGCCAGGAGGTTTTGGTGGGCGCGGAGGAGGAGTTGGGGTGGAGGCATGAAGCTCTGCTTGGGTTAGGGAGTCCACACTAGGGGTAGAAGATGGGCGGCGAGGGGGCGGCGGTTGTGAAGTGCATACTGGACGTGGGATCTGGTAACCACTAGTGGTGGATGAGTGTGTGCTTGGATGCACATTGGAGTGCACGTTATCACTGAGGGGTATTGCTACTGGACGAAGGTGAAAATCCAGGGAGTGCTTTCTGGGATGCGGAGAGGGGTGACAGCGGGGTCTGCCAGCTCGATTCTGGGAGTCAGGGGTTGTGCTGGCATCTAAAGACTGGCTGAGAGGGCTTGACATTGCAGTGACTGTCCAAGGGACCACTCTAAAGCCAGAAGAAGAGGAGGAAGAGGAGTAGGATGGATTTGGAAGGCTGCTGGGGAGGAGGGAAGGAGAGGAAGAAGAAGAAGAAGAGGAGGAGGTTGCAGAGGGAGGCGGGTAGAGGTTGTCATTGTAGTCAGTTTCAAGAGATGTGGATGACCCTAAAGGAGCCCTACAAAAAGAAAGAGAGAGATATCAACAAAAAGACTTAAATAAAAAGAGTTTGTTTTTTCTTTTTTTTTCCTTATGAAGTTGTATAGTTTATCTGTTTATTTTGGTCAAAAATAAAGACAAATAAAATAGAAAGGTCTTCTTTGCATTAAAATTATTGTTGAATTTTCCCATCATAGTCCACTCAAGGCTTTGGGTTCAAACCTCAACAACTAAACGTGTCTGGAAAGAGCAAACATTTTCCAACTGAGGAGGAAAATAGGTTTTATTGTGCTGTTCTGAGGAACGCTCCCATGAAGTTTCATGAAGTCAACCTTTTCCGTGGGTGTGATCCAAGATAAATCTCAAATCCCCTTTCTTAGAGTCAACACGTCTGAACCTGTAACTCTGGTAGTTTAGCTGATTTCTCTTCAGCTGGTTCTCTTTAGTCTGAACTGGAGTCAGAGTGGAAAAGGTTTTTGCATTTTTAGGATTTTGTTTTGAGCAATAATATGACTAAAACATAAACTAACTAGATATAGTAAACAAAGCTTGCAGATCTGACAGGCTGTCGTTTATAATTCTGTTTTCTATCATTGTGTTTTTATTAATTTTGTTAGAGTTTAAGTATAGATTCTGGACTCATTTTGGCATTTTAACTCAGTTTTTACAGAAACCGCAAATCTTTCTATGAGGTTAAAATTTTAGCGAAACTCTAAAGGCTTCAGAAGACGTCTAAAGTTAATTTGTTAATTAACTTTAACTTAATAATTAACTTAAAGTTAATTTGTAACAAATTTCCCAGAGGAACCCACCCGAGGGATGAATAAAGTTTTATCTAATCTAATCTAATTTGCTGCTCTGTTACCTTAAATGATATTGCTAACAACAGGATTTATTAACACATTAGGAAGTCTGAGTATACCTTCAAAGTTAAATAACTTAAATAATGCAAAAAGACATCTGGGTGCATAGAAATCTTTGGGAAAATGGCCATAAGGCCTTAATCTATGACCTTCAGTTTCCTAATGAGTTTAGTGTCTCGATTGTGAGTTTCAAGTGATACTGAATGGAAGATTAACTTGTAGATTATGGTCCTAATGCACTGAAGTAGAAAAGGATGATGAAGCTGGGAATTTTTTACTCAGCTATTGACAAGTCATTTCGTGAGCAATGGCCCTCAATTGCACAATCATGTCCCCTCATACATTCGCGATGTCTAGTTAGAAAACCCTAACAATATTGTAATTGTATACATACAATATACTCTATATATAATATCCATCAGGTTTGTTTCAAGTGTTCTGTATCTCGGTTTTTCCATCCACTACATGTTGGAGATATTCCATCTATGACATGTTTGCTTATTTAATTAAAGTTAAATCTTCAGAAAAATATCGTCCTACGATATTTTAAAGCTATCCTTAAAAGAGAATTTAATTGTTTACAGACAAATTCACCAGATAACCTTTACTAAGTAGTTGGCAATTATTTAGACTTAGGTGGAAAAAAAAAATCTGGCCGTAACCTATTGTAACTTAATCTTAATTAATCTTAATCTTAATTGAGATGTAGAGTTTGCCAGGCATGGATTAAGCCTGAACCTCATAGAAAAAATGTTTGGTCTAAGACTAAGCTGGGAAAATGAGCTTTAAGACATTAATGACTAGGCTTTTTTTGTCTTATTGTATCTTTGTGTTCATTTATTTACCTGATGTGACTCTGGCATTGTGATAACCACAGGTAATCCTCCTCTGAATTCCGGTCAGGCTCCATGTGCCGCACACTCACCGGGTCATATGGTGGTGGGACTAACCCTGTCATCGTAGAGATGGTGGTGGTGTGACTGACTGGGGTCATAGATGTTGCAGAGGTGGAGGAGGAGACAAGAGGTCTTTCTGGGACTGTACAATGAAAGAAAATAAATCAGCTAATTCAGGAATTAAAAACCTTATAGACAATCTGTTCAAAGGTCCCAAAGCTCAGCCAGTATTTGTCATGTCAGTTTATTAGGCACGCCACTTCAATACTTTTAATGCATATTTTACCAGCAGTTTGTTATTCTTCCTGTTGTACTGAAGTGCATTTTATTGAAATGTTACTAATATATTCATTATTTATATGTTATATATTAACATACATTTTGTTGATTATCTGAACAAAACATTGGGAAACCTTAATAAACTGGAGTGTGGTGCAGTATTGATGATGCAAAAACTATATTGGCATTACTGTGTTTGATTGCATTACAATAGATGTTTAGTAAGGCGGTGACTTACTTTATGTGTGAATTTACAGAAGCTCTTTTACATGTTTTTTTCTATAACTTTAATCCTAAAGAGATCTATGTTAATTACAAAGAAACCATTGATTTTACAGTCAACATATGGAAAAAAATAACTGATTGGTTGCATTGTATCATATCAAATTGATATCAAAAAATCCAATTTATATTTGGTATATCAAATTTATTCAGAATATGAAACCTCTGATAAAACATCCATCTATTATAAACACAAATAAGACTGTTTAACTCAAAGGATCCATTTCACGTGTGAACACAAAGTTCAAATGTTCAAGGGAAAGCTGCTATACATAACAATATCATAATATTTATATTGTTTAAATGTATTGCTGTACAGGTCTGAGTCAATGGCAGCCACAATTGTGAAGGCATACTTGTCTACTTTTCTTTATGCATGTTCTCTCCTCCTCCTACTTTTCACACTGACTCAACCACAGCCCACGCAGGCAAACATCCACTTCAAATGCAAAACAAGACAAGTACATGGAGCATTTTTCACTTGTCTAATAATTGGATATCTAGCATACCATCATCAGTAGGGTTGAAGCCACAGAGCAGGCAGATGGATGTCACCCAGCGGTTCATGTCCTCTTCAGACTCAGCCACCAAGTACCAGATCCTCTCTTCTGTCCTGAGGTCAAAAACAAAGCTGCTCTCTAGCTCCTTTTTTGTGAAAGAAAGCCCAGCATCCACCTGACGGAGAGGCAGAAATGGAGCAGACTTGTTACTGTCAAACAATCAAGCAACCCTTAGGATTTATTAAGTGTAAGTGTTTACATAGTTGAGTATCTATGTACATAATATACACACATTCAATTGGCATTTAACAAGCAAAAAGAATCTGAAAGAAAAATAAATAAATTATGAGATGTGATCATAAAGTTCCCCGTGTCTCTCAAAAAGTGAAAAATCTTAATTTAAATTTGGTCAACCTTCCCCTGTGGGCCGCCGAGTCCCCACACACATGCATGTTTGGATTGCATCTTAGAAGACACTCAGGCATGCGGATTTGTCATTTCAAACTTTCCCAGAAAGAAAATATCACAGTCTGTGTCAAAGTAATTCAACCGTTAAGCTAATGATCACTGGCCCAACAGCAATTTTTAATCAAAGTATCCCCAATTTCCAGACCTGAATTGATTGCACCAGGTCAGGAACAATGATCTATTTTCTGACAATCCCAAGGTTGTGCGCCAAGAATTCGTCCCCTGTGGACAGACTGTCAAAGTTTGACTTTACTGCAATGTTCCGATGTGTCAAAGGAAGGTCATTCAGCAGAAACCACCTTAAATAAATCGCATTTTATGCTGCAAACAAGACATGTGTGGCCATGCCAACACAATCTTTTTATTATTATTACCAAACCAATGTTAGTGTTGCGACACTCACAGTGTGTGATTCGGTGCTAATAATTAGTAGTTCTGTGCTACAAGTCTTGCACTGCTCAAAGAAAGAAACTTGAAAAGAAGATCAGTCAAAGTTGAAATAAGAGTTACTTTCTCTTTTCTCATGAAGAAAATTCAGGAACTGATTTCATTACCAAAATCTGTGTTGCCACACTCTCTCTTTATTTTGCAAATAAGATCATATTTACAAAAAGAAAAATGTTTAAAGATGTAAATCCAACATTAGGTGAGACAGTAATATATCTGTCATCTCACCTGTTCGCACAGATTCAGATTGATGTTCCTGATTGGCCGACGGGAATGCGGGTTCTTGTAGTATTGCAGAACGTCCGGCTCTCCGCTCAGTCGACCGCTTCGCAGCACAAACCAGCGCCTCTTCCAGGCCTAGAGAGAGTAAAAGATTTATTACTAAAAAAAAGTTTTTATGTGTAAAAATAATCTCAGGACAAGATGCAAGCACTCAACCCCTGTGTGCCAACTGCTGAGATCTTTTTGAGACTTTTACTTTGGACTTTGAACTTCAGTCTTCTTCCTGAGTGAGTTATTGATTATATGAAGTTTTGTTTTTTTTTCTGTCCTTCTTCCGTTACAAAAACTCATTAAACGCAATACTGTTGTCTTTCTCCATGTCCTAAGTTTTACACTTCAGTGAATTTGAATGTTAACGCACGCCTACGTCCACTGAACTGCTAAATGTTTGACACTTGTCTCCGGTCGTTTGGCATCAGGTGTTGGGCCTTACAGGTAGGGTCTATCTCCAACAAATGATCCACAGGAAGGCATCTCATACTTCAGACATGACTCACAACCAGTGCGTGTGTGTTTGTGCCATTAGTGTGTGGGAAGAGTGTGAAAGAGAAGTCATGATATTTTTTTAAAGGTGTGAAGCAGAGCATAAATAAGGATTAAAATTTCATAACAGTACAGGGACACGTGCATGCAGAGTTTCACATTCAGAGCTCAGGTTTTCAGTTTAAAGAAACCTGAGATTTTTCTTACATAGGTTGAACAAATGCCATTTAAAACACAGGAACAAGTTTTATGCTTCTGTTTACAAGGCTGAATATACAGTATGTGTGTGTGTGTATGTTTTTGTGTTGGTCCGACAAGCTAAATCCATCCTTTCTGATCCTCATGAACTATTTCTCAACAAAATAAAATGGACTCCTCGGGCCTGAGCCTCAGCGGGCGAGTTTATGTGTTTGTGTGCTTGTTTGATCAAAGCGCACAGTAATGAATGGCAAAACACATTTCACCCTTTTTTTCTTCAAACCCAGACGGGAAAAGGAAATAGCTGAACAGGAAATGCCGGTGGGAGATGGCAGTATGAGCATGTGTTTATTGACTGTCTCCCTCGATCTGTTTGATGATCTGCTGGGTGCTGGGGAGATAAAAGCAGCAACATGGCAGAACTAGTATGAAAATACTTTTTGATTCTTTCTAATTAAAGTAACAGGAACAAGCTGCAGCGGACTGGATCACTCACCAGCATGGCCTACAAAATCCTTTTTAAGTGCCTGGTAACACAGGCTATTACTAGAATAAGTCATGATGGAGCAACCGGATTAAGCAACACACTAGTTTTAAAGGGATAAAAAGGTAGTCAAATTTTAATCTTGTTATTATGCAATAAGTACTTTTTTTACAACCTTACATGCAAACCCGATTTAGTTCAACATTGTACAAAAGTGTTTGTTTGTTTTAATTTAAAATAATTAATATATTTAATAATATAATTATAATGAAATACTGTGATTTACGACCCTTAATAAACACTTGGTGATTAGTTTCATGTGATTCTGAAAAAATAAAAAAAAAAGATGTTAGGCTTGTAAATTATGATCATCATTGGCCTTCAATTTTGTCAGGTGGTCCTGAGCACTTTTGAAGTCTTGTTAGAAAACCCATTTATTTTTGATGTACAGTCTATGGTTTTGTTATACAAGTTCATAACTTATTTTGCCTACCAAGTTATTGTATTTCTTTAGGTTTTTTATTTAAGACAATATCTTAATTAGAAGAAAAAACTCACTTCATTATTGTCTTCATATTCATGAATTTCTTTCAGTGGCCAAAAAGTGTGTTTGGTGTTTTATTTTAAAGATGTGACTCTCAATAATCAGATACCAAAGTATCAAAAATACTATTCTTATTCCAGTTTGTGAAATACTGTTTTCTTTTTTAATTTTGCTTTGGGTTTTTTTACAGTCTCATGACATCACAGAAATGAATAAAAGTTTTCCTTTGGTATTACTGCCTTGACTCACTGACAATTTG